TGTAACTTTGTTTTTTTTTTTTTCTTTTATTTTTTGGGAATGAGAGAGAGCTGTGAAAGAGAAGAAAGAGAGAGGAAAGAGCTAGAAAAGAGCAGAGAGAGGGGTAAGAACAGTAGCACTCACGTGGTATTCAGGTAAGGGGTAGGTTTATTCAGTAGACCTGCTGGGACCAGGCAAGGTTGGCACTCCACGTGGTTGGGAAAGAGAGGAAAGAGAGAGGAAAGAGCTAGAGCAAAGAGAGAGCAGAGAGAGCTAGAAAAGAAGAGCAAGAGCGTAACTTTGTTTTTTTAACATAGTAGCAAGCAATTAATTTTATCCATGTCTTTTACAGATTTTTTTTGGTGAAAACCAGCATTTTTTTTAAACAGGCAAAGATGATTTATTTTCATAGAAACTCAGTGGGTAAAGACACTACAAGGAATTTATGTAGACAGAAATAGATTATTGAATTAACCAGAATATCTCCATTGCCTACAACTTAACCATCGGATGAAGCATCCTTAAAAGATGCATTTCTCAAAAAATTAATAAATAAAGCTAAGCAAGTCATCTACACAAGCACTTACAAAATATAAACCAGATTTTCAGCAACTCTCAATAGTGGTTGAAAACCAGCAATTTTTTTTTAATAAATATTTACTCCAATTGTTTATACAAAGAAGTTGAGACACAAAGATTTTAGTAATTGGCTCAGATCACAGAAGTGGCAAGTGAGATGGCCAGAATTCTCCTATGAGTTTTCCTGCTAAAAATCTACTGCATCTCAGATTTCAAAAACCTAATGAATAATTTTTAGACTTCATATCTCTTATTTTCTGTCTTTCCTTCAAAATTGGCTTCTACTACATAAATTCTCAGTCTGCATAATTGGAATAAATATTATGTGGTCAGCAGACTTACATTTTTTACTAAGTAGTTATACAGAGAGATTACATACATACAATTCCATAAGTCAGGTTATGAATACAGTACTGCTTGATTCAACATCACTCCATCCATTGTTCCCATTTTCCTTTTTTCATCCGTATGTAACCTCAAGTTATGTAGTTCAGTTTTAAAATTTCTTAAGGATTATTGAATCCTTGTATATTCTGTCTCATCTATGTTAAAATATTTTGGTCTAGTCAGGTGCCAGTGGCTCACACCTGTAATCCTAGCTACTCAGGAGGCTGAGATCTGAGGCTCATGATTCAAAGCCAGCCTGGCCAGGAAAGTCTGTGGGACTCTTATCTCCAATAAACCACCAGAAAACCAGAAGTGGCGCTGTGGCTCAAGTGATAGAGTGCTTGCCTTGAGCTGAAGAGCTGAGGGACAGCACCCAGGGCCCAGAGTTCAAGCCCCACGACTGACAAAAAATAAAAATAAAAAAAAATTATGATCTAGGAGTGTTGCTCAAGGGTACATGCCCAAGGCCCTGAGTTCAATTATTAGCACTCCTTTTAACCCAAAAGAAAACCCAAAATATCTCTCATTTTTGTCTGCTACCACAAAACTCAAAGTCTGGTTCAGGCTGTCTTCACCACCTACCTCAGTAATTCCTTTTGGCTGTAGGATGGCCTCTTTAGCACTCAGCTCCCATTGTTAACTGATTTTACCATCACTGGTACAATCTTCTCTAACTTGTCACGTGTCATTATTCTTCCCTATGGCTTTCTTCTACCTGTTTCAACAGGTTAAAATTACTCAACGTAACTTTCAAGGCTCTTGATAATCTGAACAGCTCTCTTTGTCTCTCTTAGTTTTCATCCATTTGAACATTTCTTCACACAAATAATGCTTCATATTGTGACCTAATTACCCAAGTCTTTGTTTGTGTTACCTGGACTTTCTTCTCCTTCCATTACCAAAACCTATGGGTATCTTTCTGTTCCATCCCTGAGAATATTTTCTGCTGTTGCTCTTTTTTATGTAGTTAGTATGTCTTTCAACTGAAAATGTATACATATCCATAAGTTTATAGAACTCAAAGATACACAGTAGAGCCAGGCATGGGTGGGTCACACCTGTAATTCTAGCTACTTGTTAGAATTGCCTTTGAAGCCCAGGCAGAAAAACTTTACAAGACCCCTTCTCAACAAAGAATTAGATGCAGTGGCACGTGCCTATCATCCTAACTACTGGGGAGCCTAACACAGGTGAACTGCGCCCAAGAGTGCGACCAGGCAGATGATGATACCCTGTCTCAAAAATGACCAGCAACAAACAGACTAGAAGTGTGGTTCAGCAGTGAGAATGCCTGTTTAGTAAGCATGAGACCCTAAGTTCAAGCCATATGACCAATAAAGAAAGATGTACAGTGAGTGAAATGTAAGTCTTTCTTCCATCCCTTCCCACAGGTATTCTCTGCAGAGATGATCACAGTTACCTAGTTTCTTAAGTATTTTTCATAAACTTTTTCATCCATGTGCAAGGATATATATATATATAGCATTATACTTTTTCTATGCAAATGAAAATATACGCTATGCATTTTCTGAACCCATTACCACTTAAACTTCATCTTGGAGAGCATCTCATATTAAGCAGGTAGAGCTACTGCATTCTTTATAAGCTGTGTGGTCCTTCCTGTGTATTCATAGACCCCTACTGAAAAAGTCATTTCAAATACTTTCACTGGGGGCTGGGAAGGTGGCTCAGTGGTAGAGTGCTTGCCTTGCATGCATCAGGTCCTGGGTTCGATTCCTTAGCACCACAGAAGCAGAAAAATCCGTAAGTGTTGTTGTAGAGCGTTTGCCTTGAGCTGAAATACTGAGGGACAGCACCCAGGTCCAGAGTTTGGGCCCCACGACCACCACCAACAATAACAAATATATGTGTGTGTGTGTATATATGTATTACTTTCACTGTTATTGTTGACATTGCTACATTGAATAATTTGTAAACATCACTTCTATTTTATTAATTTGTTTATTAATTTTCCAAAAGAGGAATTGGGGGTCCTATAATACATATTTAAAATTTGGGGGGAATACCAAAATCATTCATTATTATTACAGTTTATACCATTTTTCTTTCTTTTTTGGGGGGGGGTCCGGTCATGGGGCCTGAACTCTGGGCCTGAGTGCTGTCCCTCAGCTCTTCAGCTCAAGGCTAGTGCTCTACCACTTGAGCCACAGTGCCACTTCCGGCTTTTTTTCTTTTTGCTTATGTGGTGCTGAGGAATCGAACCCAGGGCCTCATCCATGCAAGGCAAGCGCTCTACCACTGAGCCACCTTCCCAGCCCCCCATTTTTCTTTCTGTCAAAATGTGTCTGTTTCCCTAAATGCTTCAGTGTTAGCTTTTGACATTGGCCAGTATAATAAGTTAAAAGCAGCACTTCTTTTAATTTGAGAAATTACACATAGGTTAAACATCTTATTTTAAAAGCATCTGTATAAATTATTTCTATAAACTGCCATTTCATTGGACTTTGCTTACTTGTTGGTAAGAATTTTTTGTCTTAAGAATGTTGGCTTTGGTTGGGCGCAGATGGCTCATACCTATAATCCTAGCTACTCAAGGAGGCTGAGATCTGAGGATCATGGTTCAAAGCCACTCCAGGCAGAAAAGTCCCTGTGAGACTCTTATCTCCAATTAACCACTCAAAAACACGAAGTAGCCCTGTGGCTCAAGTTGTAGAGCACTAGCTTTGAGTACAAAGCTTCTCAGGGATAGCACCCAGGCCCTGAGTTCAAGTCCCACAACTGACAATAAAAAGATTACTGGCCTTTTAATTAATCTTGTATGACAAGAATTTTTTTCCAGTTTTGTTAACTTTTTTTTAACCTTTTGTTTTCTCATATTAACTCTAGTGCTTATTGATATGTTTATTATTATTATTAACCATAAAAAATAAAAAAGAAACAAGGTTTAATTTTATTCAGATGACTACCCACTTGTCCCTTCAAGTTTTTTAAGTGATCATCTGATTTGAAATATATTTGCATCTCCTGCTTATCAGAATTTTTATTTTGCCATATAATCCATGGAATCATTATCTAAATTCTCCAACAGAATTTGTTGCTATTTTTCTTAAACTTTGAAGGAAATGGGAATTAGTTTAACAAGACAGTTGTTCATTTGTTTATTCCTTGTGGTCCTATGATAGGAGCTCATATCACGGAAGATACGTTGCTATCACTGTACTATGAGCCCATATCCATAGTTTGCTGTACTGGAAAAAGAGTTATCCTTTTGCCTTGCTAAGACCTCAGATACCACATAAGGAGTAGAGTAAATGACCAGAAATAGAAGGAACATAGCTCTACTCAGATATAGTGCCCCTCCCATTTCTTTAATGAAATAGTACTCATAATCTCTTAGGTAAGTAAAATATAGTAGAAATTTTAGAACAATTTTACATTTACCCCGCTTTCCCTATTACTGACATTTTATACTATTATGCTAATATTTGTTGTAAGAGAACCAGTCTGGGTGAGGGGGTGTAACTCAGTGTAGAGTACTTGCCTGGCATATATTAGGCCTTAGGTTTGATTCTTAGCACCACAAAATAGTAACAACAGCCACAAGAGAGAAATGAGCCAACACTGATTCATTATTAACTGAAGTATATACTTTATCCAGGTTTCTTTGCTTTTTACTTAAGTGTTCTTTTTCTGAACCAGGAGATCACTTTACATTTAGTAATCATGTTGTCTTAGACTCCTTTAAGAAGTTTGACAATTTGGTTGAGTGCTGGTGGCTCACACCTATAATCCTAGCTACTCTGAGGATATGAGGGTCTTGGTTTGAAGCTAGCCTGGGCAGAAAACTCCCTGTCGGCCTCTTATCTCCAATTAACCACTCAAAAATGGGAAGTGGTGCTGTGGCTCAAGTGGAAGAGCTCTAGCTTTAGTACAAATGAGGATCAGGGACAATGCCCAAGCCCAGAGTTTAAGCCCCACACACAAAAAAGTTTGACAATTTGACCATAATATATCATTTTTCTAAGAGCTAGAAAATTTAAAGTCAACAGCTCGATAGATTGATGTTTTAAATTCATTTCTCCTTTGCATTTCAGGCCCTCTGTGAATGTGCTCTCCAAACTCCTTATGACAGCTTAAAACTAGGGATGCTGTCTGTCCTTTCCACACTATCAGGGACCATTGCCATCAAACATTACTTCAGCACAGCTCCAGGTAAGTAGAGATCATGTGCTAAATCCTTTATCTGTGTTGTTGTCAAGTTGTTTCTTCTCTTAAGCTTTAAACCTAGAGAAGGTTATAGTTTCATTATATGCTAATGATATATCTGAAGATCAGTTTTTAATTTATTTTTTATTAGCATACATTAGTTACACAAAGGGCAATTTAATTGTAACATTTCTGTGCATGTATACAACAGTGGGTTCCAATCAATCCTGCCAACCCCTTTATGATAAAATTTGGGGAGGTTCCATTGTTCTATTATTTGCTGGCAATCTATTGAAGGTGATTTCTTTTCTCTCTCTCTCTCTCTCTTTTTTTTTTTTTTTTTGCCAGTCCTGGGACTTGAACTAGGGAACTGGGCACTGTCCCTAAGCTTCTTTTTGCTCAAGGCTAGCACTCTACAACTTGAACCATAGTGCCACTTTTATGTGGGTCTGAGGAATCAAACCCAGGGCTTCATGCATGCAAGGCAAGCATTCTATGTGGCTTAGTAGCCACATTCCCAGCCCTGAAAGTGATTTCTTAACTCAAGAATATTATTCTTATGATTTGTCCTTTTTTAAATATATGTGAATGAAACATTTTTTAGAATGTTTAAAAAACTGGTTAGAAGCCAGGTGCTGGTAGCTTATGCCTGTAATCTTAGCTACTCAGAAGGCTGAGATCTGAGGATCGCACTACAAAGCCAGCCTGGCAGGAGGTTCATATCTGCAATTAACCAGCTAAAATCCAGAAGTGGAACTGTGGCTCAGTGGTAGAGTGCTAGCCTTAAGCAAAGAAGTTCAGGGACAGTGCCAGGCCCTGAGTTTAAACCCCATGTCCAACAACAACAAGAAGATTAAATTGATTTGCTGCCAAGCACCTACCTATAGCTTAAGCTTGTAATCCTAGCTACTGGGGAGACTGATATCTGAAGATTGTGGTTTGAAGCCAGCCCTGACCCAGAAGCCTATGAGATTATTATCTCCATTTAGCAACCAAAAAAGTAGAGCTGTCTCAAGTGATAGAGCAGTAGCCTTAAGCAAAAATGCTCAAAGACAACACCTAGACCCTGAATTCAAGCCCCAGGACTGGCATCCCCTCCCCACAAAAGAAAACAAACCACAAAAATAAACTGGTTAGGTTTTACATATCTGATTCAAAGTTTCCCTTGAATTTAATCTTTCAAGGGTACTTTCAACCAAGTATTGTTGATTTTAAAAGAAAATATTATATATTTCTTTTTATAAATTATCTCTCTGAAACATAATGAACACTTTATCCCAGATCAGTAATGCTTTCCAAAAATGATTGATTCAGAAAAGCCTTTATTAATGCCAACTGAAGAGCTTGTTTATATAACAGACTTAAGGCAAAGTTTTGGGTGGTTTTTATTTTTTCCTCCTGGGGCTTGAACTCAGGGCCTGGATACTGTCCCTGAGCCACTTAATTCAGCCCATAACTCCATTTCCCATTTTTGGTGTTTGGGGGTGTTTTTGGTAGTTAACTGGAAATAAAATTCTCAAGGACTTTACTACCCCAGCTGACTTTGAGTCATGATTTTCAGATCTCAGCCTCCTTGAGTAGCTAGGATTACAGTAATTAATCAAAGTTTTATTGAATCTCCATTGCCACTTTTTCTAGTCACTCAATATTAACTGAATATGCATTTATTTGACTTTTTAAAAAAATGTTATAGTATGAGTTTATTGGGTAAGGGAAATTTCCTGCCATGTAAATTTTGATAGGAAGACCTGATATTCTCATCATAATTCCTTTATGGCTAGGATACAATTACATGCCCTGGACTCAAATAATCATGTCCATGCCACAGACTTAATTAAGAACCAGTAACAATAAGTGGGCACCAATAGTAGTCATAGTGTTGCAGTGACCATGGCAACATCCACTTTACAGAATACATTATAACAGTGTAAACAAATAATGAGTAACAAGGGATTCAGCTTCTTCATTGCACTAATCATGTGCATGGTTTGGGGCTGTGAACTTTTACTCTCAGGCCTCTCCTTTTTTCCCATTTTCTGACCTTAATATTTCAGTCTTTCTAATGATTCTTTAAGGTACTTTCTATCAGTTACTGGTTGATACATAACAAATTATCCCAAAACTCAGTAGCTTAAATATATGGCCATTTTATTTGCTCTTATTCCATGAGTCAGCTGTTTTGATTGAACTTGGCTTTTCTATTGATCTCTCCTTGAGGTCACTTATGACATCAGGAACTTTAATCAGGATGGTCAAAGATGGCCTCTATTTATAGAAGAGATACCTTAATTCTTCATGTAACTTCATGTACAGAGAGACAGCTTTGGCTTATTCTCAGTATGCTAGCTGCAACCAGAAAAAAGCAAACCACCAGTATACAGCTCTTTTCAATCTTTCGTTTGCATCATGTTTTCATTTATTGTCTTGTTGACCAAAGCAAGTCACATGACCAAGTACAGATAGGTGGGGAAATAATAATTCTTGATGTGTTGGGAATGTCTATTTGGAGTATAAGAGAGATTTTCACAGCCTTTTTTTTAAAATAAATAATCTATTATATATATCCAGTGTTTTTTTAGTGAATTATTTTTCTGCATAAATGAGAGCCATTCATTCATCTCCTTAGCTTATACTATTCTTAATTAATATCACACTTTAAAAGAGCTGTTCAGCTAAGTCTTGATAGTATCTTAAAATTTATAAGAACCTTCTCATGCAGGTACATACAAGGGAGCTTGGCTTACAGAAGTTTAGAGATGCATCCAAAGTCATATATAAATATGTTTGTGTAGATATATATTTACATGTATACATATGTATGTATGCAAATATATATATATATATATATATATATGTTTTGACTCCATTTTTTAAAAATACCAGACTAACCTGAATACATGATGGCTTTCAAAATTTTTTTAATCTAAGTATTTGTGTGAGCTTATAATACATACTCTTAAAGCAAGAAATATGTCCTTCTATTGTTAAAATGTAGTTTGTATAGAATTAAGCAAAAGATAAGTGCTAAACTAGGTAATGTTCATAGGAGATAAAAAGCCAAAGATTGTTCCTATAAATTTGTAGCTATTGATGAGCACTTTATCAGTATAACCAGAAATAGTATATTAAATAAAATAAAATTTAATATTTCAAAATTGTCAGTAATACATTTTATGTATTTAAGATGTTCAGTATCATATATATCTAAAAATTCACATTAAAACACTAAAATAATATTGATCCAACAGATTAGCAAAGATTCAGAAGTGTGATGATATGCTATGAGACAAGCATGTGGGTAGCAGTCACTTTGTTTCATTGCTGATGTGGGTGTAAATTACTCAACTCTGCATAGGCAGTTTGGAAATACTCATTAAATTACAATTGACTCTAAAATTCCATTTCTGGGAATTTGTCTTACTTATATTCACAAATTGAGTAATGATATGTGTACAGGATTACTGATTGCATCAATTTATGTAATAGCAAATATTGTTCATTAATGGAGGGTGTCATAGCATCATAAAAAGGTCCATTGACAGGGAGCTCATTAAAGAAATTATGATAGATCACTGCATTAGGAATTGGTGCAATCTATTAAAATAAATGACATGGAACAATCTCCATAAAGAAATATTTAAAGAAAATTATAACAAGGTGTAAAATCAGATATAAAAAAGGGGAACAAAAGGAAAAAATGAAAGAAGTTCTGCTCGCCTTTTCCTACACTGTCTGTAATAATCTTGGTTTATGTCTGTTGTAATTATTAGTAGTGTTCCCTTTATTCAGGAAAGAAATGTGGTCACTCATGGAGTTAAAGACAGGGTTGACAGGAATTATCAGAGGAAAGGAAGACAGAAATGAAGAAAGACTTTCTAAGAAACTGAACAAGCTTAATTGTCCTGATTGTTCTTGAAGCTCTCCCAGTTATAACTGAAAGCTTCTCTTATAAATTAAAATCCACACTATAGAATTTCAAATGTGAATTTGAAAAAGTGCTATACTCTGTAGCACCCTTACCTTTAAAGTATAAAGTATAGGAATAATGTATAACTAACTAGGTTTATGACCTTGATGGAAAGATACTGAAAGTCTTTGAACTGATTTCTTCTGTAAAAAGAGTATTATATTACATGATCTCCAAATCATTCCAGTTCTATAATCATGAATTCTTATGTAAACTTTTTAAGGTATAATATATCAACAATTGGGAGGTGAAGAAAAGCAAACAAATAATTCTTTTTTATCTCTCTTGAAGGAGTGGTTTTACCTGACAAGAAGATGACAAGGGCATCCATTTTTATCAGAATCCATTAGCACTCCCAAGATAGCCAATGGTTGTTTTGCTTTGATTTCAAAACTGTAATGATGGCATAGGCATGTACTGTATTACTGTAATAGGCATGTGCCTGTGTTAAGTACTTTTGACAGAGGAAACAAATGATGATATATATTGGTAATAGGGTTAAGGTAGAAAATTTTATTTATTTGTTTATTTGTTTGTTTATATTGGTCATGGGGCTTGAACTCAGGGCCTGGGTGCTGCCCCTCAGCTCTTTTGTTCAAGGCTAGCACTCTATCAGTTTGAAACACAGTGCCCTTCCAGTTTTCTGATGGTTAATTGGAGATAAGTGTCTCACCTACTCTCCGGCCTGGGCTGGCTTTGAACCAGGACCCTCAGATCTTAGCTTCCTTAGTAGCTAGAATTACAGGCATGAGCTACCAGCACCGGGCTAAAATAAAAAATTTTATTAAAAATTCATGTTAGAGATTTTCTCAAAACTAAAGAACACTAAACTATGAACCACTTATTTTACACTACATAATTCAATTATAACCTAATCTATATTTCTTTTTCTCTTGTTTAGGAAATGTAGGTTCTTCCCCCAGATCTTCTGATTTAGTCAAATTAGCCCAAGAGTGCTGTTACCATAATAACAGAGGCATTGCAGTGCATGGAGTTAGAGTCCTAACTAACATAACCGTCTCTTGTCACGAAAAAGGTGAGCTTGGCCAGTACCAACATGTATGGACTTTTAATTGGAATTTGAACAGCATTCTATTTGTATTTGTGGGGTTTTTTTGTTTGTTTGGTTGGTTTTTGTTTTGCTTATGGACAGTTACCTCCTAAAATAGTCTTAAAGTCTAAGCTTCTTAACCTTGTTAAAAAAAATAAAATCTGAGGTCATGGGATTAGTATTGTGGATTTGAGAGGTTTTATAAAAAATTTGACCATTTCCTCCCACCACTTAACCTTTACATGTGGGTATTGTGGATAGGGACTACCTAGAACGCTATCCTCAGGTTATACTACATCCATTTATACTATTCATCAGTATAGAAAAATTACTTAGGTTATCAGGGTACTCAACTAGTTTAATTTAGAACCATTTGGACTAGCATAACAATGCAAATTTAGTTTTTATAGAATTTCCATGTCTAGATAGATGTAAAGATTTGCATCATCAAGATGGCTATGCAAAGAAAACAATGTACATATTTTATTGTATTTCTGATATGTTTTGCCTATTGATTTGAAAAAAATTTTTATGTTCAGGAATAGAAAGTGCATTTTGGACAATCCATCTGTTTCAGTACTTATTTGTTCTTCTTGAAGATCACAAGCTCCCTACCAGCCTTCAGCACTGCTTGGACCCTGACCTTTTTTTGGCCTTTACACTGTTACAAGGCTCCTGTACTAACCCAGGAAACATTTCTCAAAGTTATATGTTGATTCTGATTTGAATAGTTAAGCCTATTTTATCTAGAACATAGTAAGGATATTTCTTCCATGTAATATAAGTAACTGCTATGTGTTCTCAGTGCTGGCATATATTAACCTAAATATAGACAACTAAGGCATTTCATAATGTTCTAGACCCTACAGAGAAATTATCACTCTGTGATACTGAAAAGATGCTATAATACTGCTATTATATCAACCACCTAAAGGACTCTTTCCTTAATATTAAATTTTAAACATTAATAAGATTATATAAAGTCTTCATTACTCTCTAAAAGTGGATAGCTTCCATTAGAAGCAGAAAAATATTATCTCCAAGGTGAAAGTGGACCTGTATAATTTATGTATCATCAGAATATTAACATATACTACATAGTTTTCTGTTCTTTATATTTTTCTTAGTTGAGCTGATACTGCTGTTTCCATTCTACTTTATTTTTTAGCTTTGTGACTTAAGCTTATGATTTCATGTATATATTTTTATAATATTCAATACAGTGGTAGAAATAAGAAATCTTTACATTTCAGAACAAATGTTCCCCCTGTTTTTTCAAGGAAGGTTAGCCTTACACATTTGTTTCCTAGATCTTTTCTTTGTTTTAGTTTTGCTTTGTTTTCTGCCAGTCATGGGGCTTGAACTCTGGGGCCTGGTCACTGTCTCTGAGCTGCTTTTGTTCAAGGTTAGCACTGTACCACTTGAGCCACAGCGCCAATGCTGGCTTTTTCTGTTTATGTGGTGCTGAGGAATCGAACCCAGGGCTTCATGCATGCTAGGCAAGCATTCTACCACTAAGCCACATTCTCAGCCGATTTCCTAAATCTTAGACTCCTTAATGTTTTTCCCTTGCGTGAATGTTTATATTTTACTCCTTTATTTGGTCACCCTAAAACTTAGTGTTTCTCTTCTAGATCTTTTGGCACTGGAGCAAGATGCTGTCTTTGGCCTAGAATCTCTTCTGGTACTTTGTAGTCAAGATGGTAGCCCAGGTGCTCAAGCCACTTTAAAGGTGAAAACATCACTTAGTATAATGCCTGGTTTCATGGCCTAAACTAGGGAGTGGCAAACGCTAGTTTGTAGGCCATCTACTATCCATGGTATCTACTATATCCTAACATCATAGGGCAAAAATAACATGGACAAATGTTTAAGGTAAAGAGAGGATGATTTCCATATTTCAATAAGACTATTAACGAAAATAAGCAGCAGGCTAAATTTGACCCTGAGGCCAAATTACCTGGGACTACATCTACCCTTGATCTTCACTTTGGAAAGATTCCCTTAAGACCACAATATATTTACTTTTTTAATTTTTTTAAAAGCAAAAACATACCTTTTTGCCAACAGTTGTAAGTTTTCTCAAAACATTAGACTCTATGCATTAGGACATTAGTAGATGATCAAGGAAATTCCTATATGAGAGACACTTCCTTCAAGGAGTAAGATACTGACATAAATAAAGGTGTAATTCTAAGGAGAAGATAAGAATTGGGAGTGAATAATTTTAACCAAGATTATTAGGAAAGATTTCCACAGGTAGATGTTAATATGAGGTGAGCCTTGAAAAATTTATTATTAGAATTTCAGTAGTGAGTCTTGCCCATGTAATTGTAACCCCTCTGTATGGTATTTTCACAATTAAAAAAAAAAGAATTTCAGTAGTGAGAAAAGATTTTTGAACCCAGAGGGGCACTGTTGTAAAAGATCTGAAAGCAGGAGTGTATTGGAACAATGGAGAGTAGCCTCATGTGACTAGATAATATTATAGAAAATTGGAAAAGTAATCATGGGAGATAACATACACCATGTTTAAAAAGAACATGGGCTTGATCCTGTATATAGTGAAAGATATTAAAAAATTTAAGTAATAGGTGTGTTCTAATCTTTGTTGTAATTAGCATTATTTGTTAAGAGTGTTAATGTGCCCAGCATTTGAAGGCTTAAAGGCTTACATCTATGTATGGCTTTATGAAATTGTTCTTGTTCTCCCTCCTAATACTTAGCAGAAAATTAAGGCTCAGAGATATAAAGAACTCATTCAAAGCCATCTAGTTAACAAGGGGTGAGATGAGCCTCAGCCCTTTGAGTGTCAGACTCTCACACTTGGGATGTGTTGGATACCACACTGATGACAACCAGTGGTGGTGTGTAGGATAATTGTTGGGATCCTCTCTTCAAGAAATTAGATAAGAAACATTTATATTGTGATAGAAGAATGGAAAGGAGTTAATAGTGGATATAAGAGACTTGACAAAAGAATCAGCTCCTGAGGGCTGGGAAGATGGCTCAGTGGTAGAGCGCTTGCCTTGCATGCCTGAGGCCCTGGGTTCGATTTCTCAGCACCACATAAACAAAAAGAAAAAAGCCAGAAGTGGCGCTGTGGCTCAAGTGGTAGAGCGCTAGCCTTGAGCTGGAGAGCTGAGGGACAGCGCCCAGGCCCAGAGTTCAGGCCCCACAACCGGACCCAAAAAAAAAAAAAGAATCAGCTGTGGAAAAGTAAAGGGATTTCTAATTTTCTGGTTTTCTTAGCTGTGTGATTAGCCATGTCATAAACTGGGCCTGAGGGGAAGGGTTATACAATAAATAGTTGGTTTTTAGACTTCAGTTGAAAAATGGAAAAATAGTCACCAAGGGCTACTGTGAATACTCACAAAAGTTAATTCATTACATTTGGAATCATCTAGGAATCTGTGTGGGGGAGGGCGGGGGTTGTTGTTTTGTTTTTTTTGGGTGCCAGTACTGGGGTTTAAACTCAGGACCTGGGCTCTGTCCTTTAGCTTTTTGACTCAAGATTGGCACTCTACTTCTGACTTTCGATGGTTTCTGCCCAGACTGGCTTTGAACCACATTCTCAAATGTCAGCCTCCTGAGCAGTGAGATTACAGATATAAGTCACCAATGCCCAACTGAGTATGTGCAGCTTTTAAATCGTCCTGAGAGATGCTGGCATTCTGAACCACTTCAGTAGCACTTCTTGAAAAGTAGTACTGTGTTGACATTTTATTTGGCATAAATTTGACTCTTTAGCATTAATTTGTATGATTTTCATCTTTAATAGTCTTAGGTTGAAATGAGTAGTTGAAATGCTGATGTACAGTTCTAACTTCACAATCCTAATGAAGGATTCAATATGCCATGTTTGTTATGAAGAAAAACATTACTGCTTGATGGTTGCTTTTTGTCTTCACTAACTTATATACTGTTCTTTATAAGTTTCACTTAATATCTTCAAAGTGTAACTAGTCCATTTTCTTCTTGGTGTGCAGATTGCTTTAAATTGTATGGTGAACTTGGCCAAGGGCCGGCCCCATCTTAGCCAGTCAGTTGTGGAAACTTTGCTGACTCAGTTACACAGTGCTCAGGATGCCCATCGGATCCTGATGTGCCATTGCCTGGCAGCCATTGCCATGCAGCTGCCAGTGTTGGGTGATGGAATGCTTGGTGACCTCATGGAACTCTACAAGGTCATTGGGCGATCAGCCACAGACAAACAACAGGAACTTCTGGTATTGTTTTAAACCTGCTTCAAATGACTAGAATCTGGTTTAATGGGAGATGTTTAGAGAAGTCATTACTACTGTTGATGTTACTTAAAAAGCCAAACTAATCCCATGCTGGTGTTTCATACCTGTAATCAGAGTAACTCAGGAGGCTGAGATCTGATGATCAATGTTCAAAGCCAGCCTGGGCAGGAAGGTCTGTGAGATGCTTCTTTCCAGTTAACCAGCAAATGCCTATATAGCAGTGGCTCAAGTGAGAGAGTGCTAGCCTTGTGGAAAAAAAGCTCAGGGACAGCACAGGCCCCTGAGTTCAAGCTTTAGGACTATGACAAACAAAAACAAAATAAGCAGACCAAAAGCATGCTGAAGTTAAAATAAAATTGGTGCACTTGGATCTAGCTCAGTAATAGAATGCTTGTTAGAATCTGCAAGGTCCTGAGTTGGATCCCCAATGCCACACACACGCACACACACACACACACACACACACACACACACACACACGCGCGCGCGTAAATGATAAACTAGTACCAGGATTTTTTTTTTTAACTACAAATTCTTCTTTTAACCTAGCTTAATAGTGTTAGCAGTTGAAGCCCTGGTGTATCTTTTTAATCATTTTCTCTTCCCTTCTCCCAAGAACCAACCATCCTGAGTCTGGTGTTTTTTATTATTCCATGCATACTATACTTTTGGGACCTAAGCATACATCCTTTATTTTTTTTGCAGGGGGGGTGTCCAATAATGGGGCCTGAACTCTGGCCCCGGGCGCTGTCTCTCAGCTGTTCAGCTCAAGGCTAGCACTCTACCACTTGAGCCACAGCACCACTTTTGGATTTTTCTGCTTATGTGGTGCTGAGGAATCAAACTCAGGGCCTTACGCATGCAAGGCAAATGCTCTACCACTGAGCCACCTTCCCAGCCCCACATATATCCTTTAGTAATATACAGTATTATTTGTTCATTTTAGCTTTAAATAAATGTTAAGCTATAAGTAATCTTTTATAGCTTATCTGTTTTGTAATCTGTATTATCTCTATCCATTTCATTGATAAATTATCTCACTATATAACTATATTATCATTTATCCTAATTTATGAGAGTTCTTTCTAATTATCTACTTTTATAAACAGCCTTTTTAAACAGTGGAATAAGTTACTTAATGATGTCAAAATGGAAAATTAAATATCAATGGAAAACAAATGGGTTCTTTTTTTAGGAGCTGTAATTCATTTCTCTTTTGGGTAGGTTATCTAACTATTCGATAAAGTTATGTTATTTTCTTTTTGCCCAATGTTAGGTGAGTTTGGCCACTGTGATTTTTGTAGCTAGCCAGAAAGCATTATCTGCTGAAGTAAAGGCAGTAATTAAGCAGCAGCTTGAAAGTGTCTCCAATGGATGGACTGTGTACCGAATTGCCAGACAGGCTTCCAGAATGGTATGTATATCCCTTCTGAATGTCCAGGATTCATGGAAATTTCACAACATATACCATAAGTTATAAAATCTAAATATATAGGAGAAAAGAATCTAATTTTTTAACCTTTCTCATAAAAAATGGTGTGTTGTTACGAGTAAGTGAAAGGGTGAGCGCTGTCTGACTGTTGTGTGTTAGTACCACTCTCATTTTGCCCTGTGTCGTTTGACCTGAGGCTGTTTCTGTTCCTTTATCAACATAGAACATCTTTCTTCATTTTTTTTCTCCCCAAACTGAACTTGCTTTAGTAGAAATGGGAAAGTTTTAGTATGGTGTAATCTTCTGAGTCATGTGAAAAGCCTATTTTATTAACTATCGACTACAAAGCATGGCTAGTACAGAAATCCTCTGAGGATGAGTCTGGACAACAAAATTTAAAACAACTTTACTCTGGGTGTTCTCTGTTTTAGTTTTCTCAATAGGGGAGGGGCCTTATTGGCAGCCAATTCTTCATTGTAACAAACTATCCCAAGCACTTCAGGACATTGACCTTCCCCTACCTGGAGGCATCAAATAACACCCCAGTAAATTAGCTCATCTAGAATGATAGACAATGCATTTTAAACTAAAATTCTAGACTTGGATGATAGTTAATTCTAGTAATTTTCTCTTTGGAACTGTTTTAGTAAAAGAATCTTAGGTATTATGTTACATAAAAGCAGCTCAGTATATGTTCACTGAAGAAATTTAGAATGAGTCTCAAAGAGTTATGTAATATGAAGAGTGATTGGACAAGTGTATACAGAGTATGGGCTTAACCTTTTCCCTGCTACATCAGCTCTTTTACATATAAGAACTTCATGTGCTTCTTCAATTTCTGTTTTTTAGGGTAATCATGACATGGCCCGAGAGCTTTATCAGAGTCTGCTGACTCAGGTGGCCTCAGAACACTTCTACTTCTGGCTGAACAGTTTGAAGGAGTTCTCACATGCAGAGCAGTGTCTCGCTGGATTGCAGGAAGAGAATTACAGTTCAGCACTTTCTTGCATCGCTGACTCTTTAAAATTCTACCATAAAGGGATTGCTTCCTTAACCGTGAGTACTCTTACTTAATTCCATCTTGGGAGTACTAATTTGTATAAATCTCCCCCAGTTTTAATCCAGTTTTAACTATTTGGAAACCTGCTAGCAGGTATAGTTACAACATCAGTATAATAAATAGGAATAAAGTAATAAATTGGTCATGGATATAAGTCTTAACCCTTCCACCCTAACCTTTTTAATATTCATAGACTGTTGAAAGTTTTCATGTTGTTTTTCAATAAAGTTCTGGGTACATATGTGAGGAAAATTGAATTCATGCAGAAAGGACACATGGCATGGAGATACAACCTTTTTTCTCCGGGTGTCCATTAGTCATCTCCCAACCTAGCCCAGTGTCATCCTCAGACATAAACCTCTGACCTTATCTCATACATGGCTGTTCATCATGAAGTAAAACAGAGCTTCTGGCCCTCCCCATCCTTCCCCCCCTCCCAGTAGTCAGGATTGAAACCAGGGCCTTATGCATGCTGAGTAAGCACTTTACCACTGAGTGTCATCTCCAGGACATTTCTGAGCTTTTTTAAAAAAAGCAAAGATTCTAGTGCTTTTTCACCCTTCTGATATCCAAATTAACAATCAGCCATCTACAACTTTTATTTTCACTGCCATCAAGAAGATGAGAGAAAAATAGATTCTTAACATTCTTAACTTTTGAAAATTTTACTAATTTCTTGGAGTTATATTCCTAAATAAGAATCTGCTTCCCTAAAATGAACACTTTCTACATTAATCATAAGGCATTTTCCCCTAAGAGTAAAGAGGTTTTATAATCAACATCCAGCTTTTGTTTTAGTACTGGGTTTCAACTCAAGGCCTCATACTTGCTAGGCAAGTGTTCTACCATATGTGCCATTCTTCCTGCCTTTTTTTCTTTTTTCTTTTTTTTGGGTCCGGTCACAGGCCTGGACACTGTCCCTCAGCTCTTCACCTCAAGGCTAGCACTCTACCACTTGAGCCACAACTCCACTTCCGGCTTTTTTTTTCTGCTTATGTGGTGCTGAGGAATCGAACCCAGGGCCTCATGCATGCAAGGCAAGTGCTCTACCACTGAGCCACCTTCCCAGCCCTCTTCCTGCCTTTCTGTGTTGTCTTTAAGGTAGTTTTTCTTTATATGCAAGCTGGCCTGGACTGTGATCATCCTTCCTGTGCTTCCTCACACCTCTAGAATGACTGGTGTGGATCAAGTGCCCAGCCCGTCTTGTGAACTTTTTTTTTTCTCCCCAGGCTGTCTTTAAACCATGATTTTCCAATCCCCCAAGTAGCTAGGATTACAGACTAGAGGGAGCCACATGCCTGGCAACATAGAACATTTTAAAAGTGTTTCAACACAACTTTAAAAACGATATCTGGGAGACACAAACTTTAATACTTGTGTATATGCATTTATATCATACCTAAAATAATGGTGGGCTATCGCAAAAGTAGTACTTCGAGTGAGAGCAAAAAATAGATAGCATAAAATAGAAAAATACAGACTTCTATAGGGAGCATATATTTTGAGTTGATTTTTTTTTGGACAGTCATGGGGCTTGAACCTGAGGCTTGGGTGCTGTCCCAGAGCTCTTTTTCTCAAGGCTAGCACTCTGCCACTTTGAGCCCAGTACCACTTCTAGTTTTCTGATGATTCATTGGAGATAAGAGTCTCACTGCCTTTCCTGCCTGGTCCAGCTTTGAACTGCAATCTTCAGATCCCTAGACTCTTGAGTAGCATGGATTATAGGCATCAGCCAGTAGCACCCAGCTTGAATGGATTCTTTTTGTTTGTTTGTTTTTTTGGGGGGGGTCCGGTCGTGGGGCCTGAACTCTTGGCCTGGGCGCTGTCCCTCAGCTCTTCAGCTCAAGGCTAGCGCTCTACCAGTTGAACCACAGCGCCACTTCCCGCTCTTTTCTTTTTGCATATGTGGTGCTGAAGAATCGAACCCAGGCATGCAAGGCAAGCACTCTACCACTGAGCCACCTTCCCAGCCTTGAATTGATTATTAGAATTGATTCATAGCTATTTAAAACAGGAATTCATAAAGGTTTCTGTTTTTGTTGTTTGTTTTGTTTTTAGTTGGGTGGGCAATCAGAACTCATTCTGAGCTCATGCCTCACTGGGAACTATATTCCTAGTCCTCTCCATTTTAAAGGGTACATTGACTACTATGATTCTAAACTTATTATTATCTTACTACTCTGAGAAATATTGTTGTTTTCTATATTAGGATAATAAATATCATGAAAAATTTAAAGGTGTAATTTTTGGTTCAGATCAATAAAAGCATTTCATTTTCTGGCTTATGTGGAACAGAAAATTATTAATCATTCACTGTAATAAGGATAAAAATTGTCAAGCAGTTAAGACTCACAGAACAGTGGTATACCTGGAATTAATTTTTGAAAAGTATTGAATAGTTCTCTTTTGTGTGTGTGTGTGTGTGTGCGTGTATTTGAAGAGTGTTAATAGTAATTAAAGACTATTCGGGCATAGGCAGTACTGACAGATGAGCCACTGAGACTTAGTCTTGGTTCTGCTATTCATACAGTGTGACTTGAGGTGGATCATTGGATCTCAGATTTTTCTCCTTTTGAAATGGGAGATCTATCCTCCAAATCATAAGAACTTTCTGTACACCAAGCTCTGTGCTTTGAGGATTAAATAAATAACAGGAGCCATGCATTATGACATGTACCTGTTGTCTCAACTACTTGGGGCTAAAGATGAAACAATCACGTGAAGCCAGGTTTAAGGCCAACCTGGGAGACAAGAATTAAAAAATAAATAAATAAATGTTTTCTTCTTGTGAGTTGTCTTAGAGAGGAAAGCAGTATGATCCTTACTGTCCTTGGAAACTTCTAGCATTTTTAGTTGTACTATACTTCTTAGGACTATTTTGTGTGAGGAGGAGGTTGAGCATTTTTGTTTGATCTGTTTACTTGACAAGACTTGAAGAAGGGAGCTTTCTATCTTTTTAACTAGATATAAGCATCGACTGCCCCTTAGCTTCCTGACATGAATTATTTTGACCCAAGATCATATGGCTTTAAGACTCAAGCTTCTCAACTGCTTCAGTTCAGGATTCCATGCCTAGAGGACCCCATAACAACATTAGATGTTTAATTTGCTCATATAGTGACTTAACTAGAGTTATCTTCCTTCTTAGAAGTAAAACAACTGTAAAAATAAAAGACTGGGAGGTAGGGCTTTGACTCAGTGGCAAAGCACTTGCTTAAAATGGGCACAACTCTGGGTTCAGCCCTCAGCACACTATGAAAAAAATTTTTTTTAAAAACAAAGGGTCTAACCCATAGAAACAGCTACCAGCCTCAGTCAGAAGTCTTTGATCCTTATGAAAGATGTCTTTTTTTTCTATTTTCTTTTTAGTTGTAAATCAGAATAGCAACAATTTTCTCTCAAACTGTATCTTGCTTTTCTTTTAATATTCTAATTTATGTTAGCACACTATTGCCAGTGTTTTTATATATCAATGTATTGATATATATTTACTTGTACCCTCGTCATTTATGAAGTTAATAAGCAATAAATTAAATATAGCATGTAGCAACTCAAAAGAGGAAGAAGGAGGGGTAGGGGAATTTGTTTTCATACAAGAACAGTTCAGCTCTCATCTAAGAAATTTAAGACAGTTGAATTGGTGGGGTGCCAGTGGCTCATGCCTATAATCTTAACTATTCAGAAGGCTGAGATCTGACATTTGCAGTTAAAAGCCAGTCTGGGCAGAAAGTCTGAGTCTCTTCCCATTTAACCACCAAAAATCTAGAAGTAGAGCTGTGACTCAAGTGGTAGAATTCCCATCTTGAAGGAGAAAGAGCTAAGGGACACTGCCCGAGCCCTGAGTTCAAACCCCAGTACTGGCATCAAAATTGATTGATTGATAGATTGAATTAATAAAACAATTAAACTGTTAATCATTAATATCTTAGGATGTACTGTTTTATAATTAGATCACAACCTTCTAAAGGTTGAAAACCATAAAGTAAATATATTAAGTATAGTTACTATCTTTACATTATATAAAGGCTTTTTGCACTTTGAGAGGTATATTAGGCAAGTAGACATTTTTATAAATAGTCTTTGCATGTTCAGTGCAAATCTGGGATACTGATATGGGGGGGTGAGGGGTGGTTGTTTTTTGGTAGAATCAGGATTTGAAGTAAGAGCCTTGCACTTACTTGGCTTGTTTGATGGCTGGACTTCTACCACTAGAGCCACACCTCCAGCCCTATTTTTTTTGCTGATTATTTTGGAGATGAAGTCTCCAGATTTTTCTACCTGGGCTGACCTGAAACATCAACCTCCAGAACTCAGCCTCTTGTGTAGCTAGGATTATAGGTGTAAGCCACCAGCATCTGGCTTCCTGTGAACCAGGATTGGGTAAATACATAGATGCAAGCCCTCCAAATTTATAAGGTCAACTTTACTTCTCACTCTCCCATCTTCCTATTGTTTTTACTTTATCCTAAATGTATATATATATATATATTTTTTTTTTATTCCAGGCTGCCAGTACACCACTGAATCCTTTAAGTTTTCAGTGCGAATTTGTAAAACTCAGGATTGATCTTCTCCAAGCCTTCTCTCAACTTATCTGTACTTGTAATAGTCTCAAGACAAGCCCTCCACCTGCAATTGCCACAACAATTGCCATGACCTTAGGAAATGACCTTCAGAGATGTGGTCGAATCTCCAATCAGGCATGTCTTAACTTTCTCTTCAGTGCAATTTTCATTTATACTCTTGGGGCTTCTGAGGTTGTGAAATAAAAAAAAAATCTGTAAAGTTAAAAATCAGTGGTTTAACTCAGACATAGTGTCAAATATTTTAACTCTCTTATCTTGCCAAATAGACTGATATGTTTTGGGATTAATGATGCCTTGGTGGGTACTACATGTTATATCAAGAGATTGGAATTACAACGAGGAAGTTTGGAATGCTTATAACTATTCTAGTGGAAGTTACAAATGTAACTAAAGATAATGTATAAATTATAATCTTGTGAACATTTAGTAGTTTCACTTATAAAAATGAACAATGATGTATGATTTTTCTTTGATTTTTGTTGAAGATTTTTCTGTTTTTATATTTTTAATGTAATTTCTGTTTTTATATTTTTAATGTAATAACAGTTAGATGTTTATCGTTGTTCATTTCTTTTCCTTCTTTATAGATGAAGCAATCCATGGAAGAATTCCGAAGCCTTGCTTCAAGATATGGGGATCTTTATCAGGCATCTTTTGATGCTGATTCAGCAACTCTGAGGAATGTAGAATTGTATCCTAACTTGCTTTATTCTTGTTCTTGGGAACTATCTTTTAAATGTAGACCATAACCAAAATATATATTGATAACTTTCAAGTTTATTATAATAATTTCATACTTTGAAATTTAGAATTTTTACTTTTTTAGCATATACCAGGATTTTAAAACAAAATGGTGATTCAGTGGTAGTCTTTTTCCCCCTCAAGGAAAAACATCCACAGCCTGAATTCTTCCAGGCACTGAGGTATATGCCTATAGTCCCAGCTACTTAGGTGGCTATGATGAGAGGATCACTTGAGCCTAGGAGTTTCAGTCCAACCTGAAGAACATAGAAAGACCTCATCTCCAAAACAGCAACAAAAAACAAAGCAAGCCTGTGTTCTATTAATGTATTGTTTGTGCTGATTTGAGCTACAAATCACCACACATTTTCCCACCAGAAAAACTTCTCATCTCAGCTTGCTTTCTTTGTGGCTACCAAGACCTAGTTATCATTGCCTTTATTTACTTATGATCTATTCAGTACTTTCGGTCATCATTTTAGTCCCCTAAGTCCTCTTTAAGTTCTTCATATTTCCTTATTAGCAACTTCAGATCACTTGTGAAGGAAGAAAGAAATACTTTGAAGTTGTAGGACCTGCCAGTCAGTAGTTCTTGGCTTTTGTTTTACTGACTGAAACCATACATGCTTTGCACTCTGCACCCTATAAAATGCAAATGTTGCCAGGCACCAGTGTCTGATGCCTGTAATCCTAGCCACTCAGGAGGTCGAGATGTGAGGGTTGTGGTTTGAAGCCAGCCTGGGCAGGAAAGTCCCATGAGACATTTTTTATCTCCAGTTAATCACCAAAAAGCCAGAAATGGGGCTGTGGCTCAAGTGGTAGGAACAACAACTAGGCCCTGAGTTCAAGTCCCAGTACCAGCACACACACAGAATTTGTCCATATATACTCCAAAATAATTTTAAGACAGTTGACAGATCCTTGAGCCCCTACTTAGGAACTATCAAGGTAAAGGCACTATAGATAATAGGGGTTTTTTTCTTTTGGTTTTAAAAATCTGCCCATGAAACTTCTGTTGTTTCTTTGCTTCAAATTCTTATGAAGAACTGCTGTAATTAATACATAAAAACAAAGTTTCTGTGAATGAATTTCACATTGAGCAGCCTCTGAAATATTCTTCCTGGAACAGAATTTGAGGATCACTAGTATAAGCAATATACATCATTTGAAAGGAAAAAATACAGCTCCACACTATTTGAGCTTGTAACATGATCACTTTCTCTAAAAGCTGTCCTCCTCTTGACTTTAATACTCAGGTAATATAAAATATAAAATGGATTTCCGTGTTTTCATGTCTAACTTAACATTAATTTAGACAGCAGCAGAGCTGTTTGCTGATATCTCATGCAATAGAAGCCCTAATTTTGGATCCAGAATCGGCAAGGTAATTTCTATAATAGTTTGTATTATAATTTTTTTTTTGGGGGGGGGTCCAGTTGTAGGGCCTGAACTCTGGGCCTGGATGCTGTCTCTCAGCTCTTCAGCTCACAGCTAGCGCTCTACCACTTGAACCAAAGTGCTACTTCCGGCCTTTTCTGTTTACGTGGTTCTAAGGAATGGAATCCAGGGCCTCATGCATGCGAGGCAAGCGCTCTACCACTAAGACACCTTCCTAGCCCTAAAATATTTTCAAATGTTATTTTGCCTTTCTTTCACAACAGTGTCTTAGAAAAGGAATTTTAGAAGAAAAAGCAAAAAGGATGTAGTCTTCTTAACACTTGCCCAGGGTCATATAATTAGGAGAAAACATAAAATTTTCTGACTCCAGATGGTCTAGGGAAATATCCTGCCTTTTATTTGCAAAACACTGATTTGGATAAATAATTGAGCAGTTTCTTGTATAATTGAGCTTTATTGTGAAAGATTGTGAGGTAATAATACTACTAAACTTGAACTGGAAATTTTATTCTTTGGTTTCACAAACCAAAAGATATTCCTGGTTTTTCTATATTAAAATTCTTATCCCTGCCAGGCATCAGTGGCACACACCTTTAATCCTAACTACTCAGGAGGCTGAGCTCTGAGGATTGTGGTTCAAAGCCAGCCTGGGCAGGAAAGTCTGTGAGTCTTATCTCCAATGAACCACCAGAAAACTGAAAGTGGTGCTGTGGCTCAAGTGGTAGAGTGCTGGCCTTGAGCTGAAGAGCTCAGCTCAGGGAGAGCGCCCAGGCCCAGCGTTCAAGCCCCATAACTGACAAAAAAAAAAAAAAAAAAAAAGTAGTAGTTTAGGCGTTTGTAGCAGTAGTGGAAAAAAGAAGAAACAAAGGTGAAACATTTCCTGGAATGATCTGTATACTAGCTCTCTTTGCACAGTCCTGGTTGTTTTTATTATTATTATTTCTATGCTTAGATTAATTTCCTAGCCATATATTTTCCATTGTAATTTATACCCATCATGCTTATCCAGTGATTTGTTCAAGACCATTTTGTTCTATGGCATTCCTCAATTCACTCTGTTTTTAGCTGTTATTCGTGTGTCTTTATTGGTAATTTGGCAATTGTCTATGAATTTATTATAATCTTTACAAATATATCTTCTGTCTTACTTCATGGCTGTGACTGCTTTACACTTTTTCATACTACCTAACAACTGGAGTGGCTAAGATTTCCATCATTTGAAGTCAGTTCTGTGTTTAAATTCCAGCTTGCCATTTACTGGTTATCTGAGTAAAGGCAAATTAACCTGTCTAAGCCTCAGTTTTTTTTAATCTATAACTTTGTGTTACTGTTACTTGTTTTGTTTTGTTTTTGTGCCTGTACTGGGGCTTGAACTCAGAACCTCATGTTCTTGCTTGGCTTTTTGCTCTACCACTTGAGCCACATCTCCACTTCCAGACATAACTTCATTGTTTTTAAAATTAACATGAATGTAGACTGTGCTTAACACATTTAACCATTGAACTTACTGTTTTATGTGATTATTTGATATTGATCTTCACTTCAGTTTCCAGGAATATGGATCTACCGGAGCAGCCCATGCTGATAGTGAATATGAGAGAAGAATGATGTCTGTATATAATCATGTCTTGGAGGAGGTAGAATCACTCAATCGGAAATATACTCCCGTTTCTTACATGGCAAGTTACATTCATTCTGTTGAGTTTTTGTTACTCTGACATAAGGTTTTTTTTTTAATTAATCTTTGATAATTATTAGGTGAGTCTAACAAATTAACATCTTGCCTATTTAATTATCAGGAGAACAGGGCTGATATAACACCTGCCTCATAGCATTGAAGGATTAAATGGGATTGTCTTTTATACCACTAGGTATATCTCTGTTACAAAGCCACAGTGACATTTAAAATCTCTACTCAAATGGAGACAAGCTTTTTAAAAATAAAATACATCAAGTCAGGCACCGGTGACTCTTCACTAGTCATCCTAGATGTATGTGTGTGAGGCTGAGATCAAGGTCACAATTCCAGACTGGCCTAGGCATTAAAATCCACAAGACCCAAGCTGGTCTGTATCTGCCAGTCATTCCTAGCTACATCAAGAAATGAAAAGCAGGAAGATAACAGTCTAGGTGTAACAAGTGCTAAAAGTGGCTGGAGGCATGCATGAGTGGTGGAGAACCTTGGGAGAGTGGAGAAAGGGGGTAGGAGGAGGAGAGAGAGAAGAGGCAGAGGCAAGAAATCTGGTTTCTTTTCCTCTTCTACAATAACTCTAATCCCTTCCTTTTTTTTTTTTTTTGGTCGGTCATGGGGCTTGAACTCTGGGCCTGGGTGCTGTCCCTCAGCTCTTCAGCTCAAAGCTAGCGCTCTACCACTTGAGCCACAGCACCACTTCTGGCTTTTTCTGAGTGCTTTATTAGAGATAAGGGTCTCATGGATTTTCCTGCACAGGCTGGCTTTGAACCTGGATCCTCAGATCTCAGCCTCCTGAGTAGCTAGGATTACAGGTATGAGCCACCAGTGCCCAGCTCTAATCCCTTCTTAACAGCCTGTCCTCTACATACCATGTTGGAGGTTAGAGCTTCAACACTGTATATGAATTTAAGAGGATACAGAAATTCAATCTATAATAGCCATTCTTTGAACTTTGGGGCCTGGAGAGTTTCTCTTCTGCTCATACATTAGCTCTCCTGGCTTCTGCTCTTTTTTCTATACTCTCATCCTTAGTCATCTGTTTTAGAAGAAAGTAGAAAAGTTGTTTCTACCCTAAAGAAATAGATTAGATCTAGGAATGAATATCCTCCTTGACATTATGCTTTTCATGTAAAAGTTGTTGTAGTATTTGTTGAATTGATACAGCCTGTTTGACATTGAGATTGGTTGCTAGGGGAGATTGTGAAACTAAGTGCTATCCTGAGAAATTAAATAGATGCTGAACAATAACTTCCTTTTGTAGTTGAATATAATGGAGAGAATGAGATGTTTCTGTCCAGGATGAAATAGAGAAAAGAACCCTGGTTCACACAGATCTAGGTTCAGATTTCCCCCCTTCCCCCAATTTTTTTTTTTGACGGGGGAAGGGGAAGGAGTACTGGGGTTTGCACTTGGGCTTCTGGGTTGTTCAGCTGTTGTTCTACCACTTGAACCATATCTCTACCCCTGATTTTTGCTGATTATTTTGGAGATGGAATTGCAGACTTTTCTTCCCTGACTGACTTAGGACCTCAGTCCTCTAATCTGAATAGCTAAGACTTGTGGATATGAGCCACCAATATGCAGTCTTGGTTCAGATTCTTGCTCAGCCAAGCTCTATGACTTTGGATAAATTACTTAATGTTCACTTATATGTGATGGGAAAACCTACCTCATAAGATTATTAGGAACTTTAATGAAATAATTCTTCTTAATGTCTAACAGTGCTTGGTATAATTGTAGCTACTAATTAATAAAATATTAATTTCCTTCTCTCCTTCTAAACTGCATTTTATATTCTGAGCCCCCAAATGTAGCTCAGACAGGCATTTATTGAGTCTTAGGAATAGGAAAATGACAAAGACACAACCTTTCCTCAAGTTGCCTGTGATCTTAAGAAGGAACAACACATGTACCTAAGTAGAGTTTTTGTATAAGGTAGAGATATAACACAAAAGAGAAGTTTGCTGGTTTAGTGTGGAAATAATTGACCAGCACTGCCAAAAAAAAAAAGAAAGAGAGAAGCAAAAGTAATTCTTGTGAAACATTGGTTCCACCAGAGCTATGATGAATCCACCACATGCTTCCCAGAATCCTTAGTTCAGGAGGATGTGTAGTGCTGCTTTGGCAATAAAACTCACCTGCCTGAAACCAGTAACAAATGGATTTTTCCATCTTTTTTCCATAATGCCCAATTTTTTAAAGCCATGTGTACAGCTTGAGCAACTAGAGGGCACTCTACCCTGCCTTTACTGTCTAGTGGTTTTCAATCTGCAGTGGTTCTGGGGGTAGGAACAGGGCATAGAGATTGCAGTAGACTGAAAAAGGCATAGTACATAGAATGGTACTGATTTATCCCAAGTTAAAAACATTCTGATGTGGCTTTAATTTACTTTTATCTATTTTTAAATCACTGATGGAATAGCACATAGTCACTAAGAAGTTAGGCAGCCCAAGTTCTAGTCCCACTTTGTTCCATTTCATAACTGTGATCTTTTTCATTAATAAACTGGAAAGTTAACCTGGGTAACCTTCCTTTTTATTTTATTTATTTATTTATTTATTTTTGAGACAGGATCTCAAGACTGAGCTCATAATCCTTCTGCCCCAGCCTCTTGAGTGCTGTAATTATAGGCATGCACCACCACACCAGGCCTTCTTTGAACTCTTGAGTTATATGACCTCTTTCACTTAAATTCAGTGTTTCTGTTCCAATGAAGTTATGCTGAGATTATCAAAACTCACATGACTGAAATCAGTTTTAGAAATAAAGTATTTTATGAAAGTTTCACAATCCCACGAAAGCATAATTACAAATAGCAACTAAAGATTAAAATTATCTTTAATCTGAATTCTAGTCAGTTTGTACCATTGCTTACTCTGGGCATCATAGCTATTGGGACAAAGAAGCTAACTTGTAGAGATGAGATGAAAGAATAAACTCTCTCAAAGCCAAGATTCTATAGGGATTGGTTCCTTTACCATACTCTTTGTTATACTCTGCTCTATGATAGTTGTTCTATATTTTAGTATCTAAAATGATCCATTAATACTATATTTAAGCTGGCTCATGCCTGTAGTCCTAGCTACTCAGGAGGCTAAGATCTGAGGACTGAATCTGAGGACAAGAAAGTTCGTGAAACTCTTACCACCAGTTAACAACCAAAAAAACCAGAAGTGGGGGCTGGGAAGGTGGCTCAGTGCTAAAGCGTTTGCCTTGCATGCATGAGGCCCTGGGTTTGGTTCCTCAGCACCATATAAGCAGAAAAAAGCCCAAAGTGGCACTGTGGTTCAAGTGGTAGAGCAGCGCTAGCCTTGAGCACAAAAGCTCAGGGACAGCACCCAGGTCCTAAGTTCTTGCCAAAACCAGCTCGCAGGTAACACACACACACACACACACACACACACACACACTTCTTGCCAGAACCAGCTCGCAGGTACACACACACACACACCCATACCTAGTAGTTATAAGCTCTAGAAGTATGCAATTTGCCTAGTGCTTGGCCTTGAGCAGTGTGGATTTCTTCCCATTTGTGATTTATTTCTTATGAAATACAGTTCAAGATAATGTAATAATCTATAATTCTTGACATGAATGAGTGAACCGGTATACATCCTGAATGTTGTGCATATTGCTTATTGATAGGAACTTTTATGATAATTTTCAGCATACACAATGTTAAATACCTTCCTGAATGTACGATTTGTTGATGAAATTCGAAAACTTACTCTATTTTTGTTTTCCTCAGCATACAGCATGCCTCTGCAATGCCATCATTGCCTTGCTGAAAGTACCCCTTTCATTTCAGAGATATTTTTTCCAGAAACTGCAGTCTACCAGCATCAAGGTAATATAGGAAGAAGATTAACATTAACATATGTTGAAACAAAAAAAAAATCTATCGTTAATTATATAGGACATAGCTATACTTCAGGATCTTAACTTGGGTTTTAACAAAATTTGTAAGTTTAGTTGTATGCTTTTCCTCCCTTTAACAAATGATTTGGTGAAGGCAATGGTATTTGAGAGCTAAACTTACCCTTTTAAACTTTTGGTGATAAATATATGGGGACATACATTTGAGTAACTGGAGATAGTCCATTGTCACTTACCTCTAGCAGTAAGTTGGTGATTTTATCATAATCATCCAGAAAAATCTTGAACTGAGTCTGTCTGACCAAGCTATTCAGACCCAACTTAGACTGAAGCAGGTCCAATAAAATATTACCGGTTGTGCCTTCACAGTCCTTTTGTCTTTTGAGTCACAAGTTTTGAGGAACTGGCCAATAACTAGAGTTACTTTTTGAACTCATTTAAACCACTGGTGGCTCTTGCTACTTAGGAGGCTGAGAGCTGAGGATTGAAGCCAGCTGGGGCAGGAAAGTCTGTGAGACTCCTATCTCCAGTTAACTACCAAAAAGCTGGAAATGGAGCTGTGGCTCAAGTGGTAGAGCACTAGACTTGAGTGGAAAAAGTTCAAGGACAGCACCCAGTTCAAACCCCATTTAAAAAAAAAAGATCAGAAGGACTGAAAGGTATAGCCCAAATATTAGAATGTTTGAGAACCAAAGTTCAACCTCCAAAAAAGCTGTTTTTGAATCTTAGAATGTTGGGAAAGGAGTGGATTTTCACTTCTAAGAGATTTCCTGAATTATTCTTGTCACTTGCTGTCTTCAGTGAACTTTTGCCCTCATTTAGATGTTTTTGGTAACAAATAACTGAATTCCATTTCAAAATGACTAATCAGGAAAATTAGTTATCTAGACAAGAATTCCTCCTAAAGCATATTGACTCCAGGGTTGATTAGTTCAGTGGCTCAACAATATTATCAGTAACTCAATTTTTTTTTTTCATCTAGCAAGACTTGAGCTTTCTGAATTTGAAATATATTTGGGACTTTAAATATTTTCTTTTTAAATTTAATTTTTTAAAGAACAGTTGTATTTGTTTAACATACAGAAGACCTTAGGTTCAGTTCTCAGTGCCTCTGACCAAAACTCATGGAAACTTACTTTGTGGAAATTTACATTTTTATATCATGACTTCATTATGCAAGTAATCCTAGCATTTAATGTTCATTTGCATTTGAACTTAATCTGTTCTAAATTACCTAAGAGTATAGAGACAGCAGCTAGACATGAACATTTCAGTACATTTCCTACTAAAAGAGATTCATTGTCACTGAAAGTTCTGCCACAAACCCTGACAGAGCAGTGCCTTAGCTTGTCTCTAATTCTGTTGCCCTTGAACAAAACTGAAGTCTGGGATTAAAAGCTCTATAGTATTTAAGAGACAAAAGGCATAAGGAAGTTGGGCTTGGAAGGTCTTTCTGCCTAGTTATCCTAACATGGGTATAGTGGGGTGCTTAGGCCACTGTGTTAGTTATTACCAGTGGTTAGCAGAAGGAAGCTTGCTCTAAGTTATTGGCCATTTATTTGATGTTTGCATTCCAGCTTGCACTGTCTCCATCCCCTCGGAATCCTGCAGAACCCATTGCTGTACAGAATAACCAGCAGCTGGCGTTAAAGGTAGAGGGTGTGGTTCAGCACGGGTCTAAACCAGGACTCTTCCGCAAAATTCAGTCCGTCTGCCTGAATGTTTCTTCTACACTACAGAGTAAATCAGGACAAGACTACAAGGTAATTTCAAAAACCGGCAGAATTGTGATGCAGGTTTTACCAGCTTAGTTTGCCAGTGTTCTTTTGTGATTAAGCAGGTGGCAGTTTTGCCTCCAGAGGGATCAGATGAACATAAAAGCAGATAGTGGGGTTTGAGGAGACTTCCTTTCCTCTGCCCAGATAATCTAGGCAGATCCAATAATGATTTTAATTACTTTTAGAGCTATAGAGGCAACTAACTCAGGTGTGTAACTTTACAGAATAAAGATGGGGATTGGGATGTAGGGAGGAGAGAACATGGAGAGAGGCAGCCTGTGAGGGGGTTGAAAGGCTCTGGGAGCTTATTCTGATCAAGGAGAGGTAAGTGGCAATGTCACTTATTGTTGGGCCAGTAGACCCAAGTGAGCCCACCTGGGTGCACATTCCAGCTCTGCTTTATTATCACCTTGGGCAGCTTACTTAACCTCTCTGTCTTAGCCTTCTCATCTAAACAGCAAGGATGATTGATAATAGTACCTTGTATCTTGGTTGTTTGCAAGGACTAAACCGAGTACCTAGAACAAGAGCCTCTGAATGAATGTAGCTACTATTACTCAATTCATTCATTGCAGATACCCATTGACAATATGACCAATGAGATGGAGCAGAAAGTTGAGCCTCATAATGATTACTTCAGTACCCAGTTCCTGTTGAACTTTGCTATCCTTGGAACACATAACATCACAGTGGAATCCTCAGTGAAAGACGCCAATGGCATCGTATGGAAGACTGGCCCCAGAACTACCATATTTGTCAAATCTCTGGAAGATCCTTACTCCCAGCAGATTCGCCTACAACAGCAGCAAGCCCAGCAACCCTTACAGCAGCAGCAGCGCAATGCCTACACACGGTTTTAACCATGTCATGCGCACACTGCAGACTTCCAAGGGATTGACCAAACTGACTGAAAAGGTTTGCTTTTTCATATTAAGTATGAAAATTATCATGTGAAGTCCACTTACTCATTGATTTCTGCAGTGTAACATTCTGGGGGGGAAATTCTCCTTTAATTTTTTTTATTTTTTATTTTGTCGGTCATGGGGCTTGAACTCTGGGCTTGGGCGCTGCCCCTCAGCTCTTCAGCTCAAGGTGAACACTCTACCACTTGAGCCACAGCTCCACTTCTGGCTTTTTTCTTTTTGCTTATGTGATGCTGAGGAATTAAACCCAGGGCCTCAGGCATGCAAGGCAAGTGCTCTACCACTGAGCCACCTTCCCAGGCTCCTTAAAATTTTTTGAGAAATTATTTTGAGAAATAACTGGTTTCCTATCCCAAAAGATGTTATTTTCTTGTTTCCTTCTAAAGGAAGTCCCTTATATTTAACATTTTTATTTTATTGCTGTTGCTTTGTTTTTGGGTTTTGTTGAGTGGTGGTGGTTGTTACTGAGTGTGTACTTTTTCTTCTCCTTTTAAGAATAGTCACATATTGAGGTGACTGGATTAGTAATTTGATTGCCTCACTACCAAACTACAAGGCTTGCTGCTTGACATCAACCTGGAATGCTAAGCTAGGCACTGGGAAATGTGACCAGTCCACACAGGGTTTGCTATGGTAGTAGTCACGCCATAGGCTCCAGAGCATGAGGCCTGCAGTCTAGCAGGATTGAAACATGCTACTGCATTGTTTTAACCACTTACCTGTCTCTTCCTATACTACACCAATCTTAATTTATTTACGTTTAGTATTTAATAGACTCACAGAGCAGCTAGCAATTACATAGAAAAATTGCAAGTTAATTTGCTGTATTTTCTGATATTTGTGTGGTTAATATATGCTTTTTCCATTGTTTGTACAAGTGGGAAAAAAATCACGTTTATTCTCTTAATGTTTTAAGTTAAAAGGGACAACTCTTTAGTTATTACTTGACAAGGTATGTGATGTTAGATTGGATTGTGTGGAAGGAACAATCTCTTTAACCTCAATCTGTTGGGATGCTCAGGGAATATAATTTTCTGGCTAGCCAGAAAACCCCTTTTTTTTCTATTACAATATTGGTTGAAAACCATATAATAACATACTTTCTTGTCTTAACACACTATAGTAGGTATTAACATAACTGTTTCTGAAGATCATTAAGTGATAGGGCATCATGAATTCTGAACTTTAGGGTGCTGGCAGGATTGCAGATATTGATAATAGTTAATTGGGCTGGATGCAGCTGCTAATATCAAGAAGGTACATTCCCTGGAATTTCCCCCTTTTAAATAAATCTCCCGATTTCTTTGCTTGTGTTTTAACTTTTTCTTATCAAGGTCACATGGATTCAAAGGTGGGCTAGAGTTCAAGTTTTAGCAAAAGGAGTTGTTTGTTTTTGTATTCTTGTTTTTCAAAAACTTGTCTTTTAACCTCTAGGAACAAGAAGTAATGGCAATTCTGATCCCTTCAAGATCACTTGGGTTGATGAACAATATATGGCCCCATTGTGAATAATAGTACACTATGCTGTCCTGTCCAGATATCTTCATAAGCAAGTCTTTGGGGTCCACTGTAGATCACTTCTCTATAGAAGCCCACCAGTATCTTTGGTGGGCATCTAGGACCATAAGATTTGGGGAAAATAACCAGAATGGTAGGGAAGAAGTACAGAATTCTTTGTCCTTTTTGGTTTGGAAAGAGCTGAATCAAAAGCCTGGGTTCTTGGGGCTGGGAAGGTGTCTCAGTGGTAGAGCGCTTGCCTTGCATGCTTGAGGCCCTGGGTTTGATTCCTCAGCACCACATAAGCAAAAAGAAAAAGCCAGAAGTGGCGCTGTGGCTCAAGTGGTAGAGCGCTAGCCTTGAGCTGAAGAGCTGAGGGACAGCGCCCAGGCCAGGGTTCAGGCCCATGACCGGACCCAAAAAAAAAAAAAAAAAGCCTGGGTTCTTTTGGCTTTGATGATTTAACTCTACCACTCTCTAAAATTATTTTCTTTGTAAATTACCAAGTTAGATTAGATTTCTTCGAGCATTGCAGTATCAGGTAACCCAAAAACAAAAAATGAAAAATTGGAAAAACGTTTTTTGAAGCTTTTTTTTTTTTTTTTCTGTCAGTCGTGGGCCTTGAAATCAGGGCCTGGGTGCTGCCCTAAGATTTTTCACGCAAGGCTAGCACTCTACCCCTCCACCACTTTGAGCCACAGCTCCACTTCCAGTTTTCTAGTGGTTAATTGGAAATGAGTGTCACAGACTTTCTGCCTGGGCTGCCTTGAAACTGCAATCCTAAACTTCCTGAGTAGCTAAGATTATGGGCGTGAGCCACCAGCGCCTGGCTTTTTTTTTGTAGTTTTTAATGCTGGTGATTAAACCTAGAGCCTTCCACATGCTAAGCATCCACTCTACCACTGAGCTATACTTTGACAACAGTTCCTGGAAAGTCTTTATTTTTTAATTAAGTAGCTAATATTACAGTGTGGATTTCAGGTTTCTGGAACTTTCAAAGTAGAATTATCTAAAAAAGGAACAAATTTAGAAAGCCACCAATTCCTTTGAGACCTTCCCAGATTTTGAGTCCTTAAAAGACTTTTTGTTAAGTATGAAAATTCTGACTTAGTGTACTACAGGACCCCTGGCACAAATTTGGGAATGAATTATTAAGAACAAATTCAAATATTTCGGAGTATGAAAGTAACCATGCAGCAGCAAAAAAAAAAGTATGTTATTTAGACACAAGGACAGAATTCTGGTTTTATAGTCAGTATAATTACTGTATTCTTTTTGCATCAGTTTTTTCTTCAGGGGGAGGAGCTGCTTATCATTTCAATACCACAATTAATGAAAAGAAAAATTAGTCAAGCAAAGACAAAAGATAAACATTCTAAATTATGAAATAAGCATGTTCCAAAAATTTAGAAGTATGGATTATAAAAAGCACTGATTGAATCTAAGAAGACAGGGCTATTTGTTCTTAATGTGTAGTGACTTTAATGTAGCCTAAGAGCTGATGCGACAGCCTTTGAAGCCACACTACCCAGGTCAGACTTCAGCTCTACCTCATTTCCTGAGGTTGGACAGCTACTTAAAGGGCATCCTTTCCTTACTGTATCTCAATAATAGGAAAATAGTGTTTCAAGTGTAGGTATAACACACAAATCCTTCCTGCCCCCAGCAGACAAATGTATTTGCTGTTAGAATTATTGCTAGTATCATTATCCTGTTTTTCAGTCTTAGGTCAGTTCTTAAACTTGGCATTTTATCTCTTCCAAATAAAAAGTTACTTTTCCCCTGCTACTAAATATATTCAAACTATCTTTCTTTATGCTCAGTCTTAGTGTAAAATAGCAAAAATAATGCTGACCTAACAAAAACACAATTTTTATTAGAAATCGTTAAAATATTTCAAGGTAAACATACAAAGAAAATTACGTAAAATACTTTTATGCTGGTTTCCTTCAATGATGATAGCAATAGTGTATTGACCATATAGAGATTAAAATACTGTTGCACTTCACCTCACACCAAAGATCTTCTGATGTGCCCTATCTATCTCCAACTAACCAAGATGTCAGATAATTTATAGTTGGAGGCTAAGTCACTCTTCTGTGAAGAACTAACCAACAAAGAAGATCTGCATATCCTTGCAATGACCTTGTAAATTCTGTTTATAAGAATTAATGCACCATGGATCCTTAAGTAGGTCACTGGTTTAATAAATGCCAGCAGAATATTGGGGGATATGACTCAAGCAGGAGAATGCCCAAGGGCCCTGAGTTCAATTTCCAGTATTCTGTCTCCCTATTGCCTCCCACAAGAAAAGATAATTCCAGAACTATAGTTTGATTCAAAGAAGGGATTGTTGAAAAAAAAAGATGAGCTGCCACTTGGTATATGGAGTATAAGCAGCACTGGCCAATAGAACTTCCTGCGGTAATGAAAACATTCGTAAGACTACACTGTCCAATAGAGCCTCTAACTTTTTTTTTTTTTTTTTGGTCGGTCGTGGGGCTTGAACTCTGGGCCCGGGCGCTGTCCCTGTGCTCTTCAGCTCAAGGCGAGAACTCTACAGCACCACTTCTGGTTTTCTAGTGGTTTATTGGAGATCAGAGTCTCACGGAGTTTCCTGCCCGGGCTGGCTTTGAGTGGTGATCCTCAGATCTCAGCCTCCTGAGTAGCTAGGATTACAGGCGTGAGCCACCGGTGCCCGGCTAGCCCCTAACTTCTGTGTACAGAAGTACTCACTTTTTAAGACATGGCTAGTATGGTGAAAATGGAATCTTTCATTTACTGTTAGTTCCATTGAATACCTTTGTGTAGCTACTGCCTACAATATGGGATGGCATAGGGAATGAAAGAAGAAGCAACGAGGACTTTTACTTTAAGACCTAGATAAAACCCTCAAGTAGGCCGCTAGATGAGGCATTGAAATCGTTCGATGTACTACAGGTTCCACATGGAAGCGCATAGCTAACAGTGGATTGGGTAATGCAATCCTGTGTGGCCCAACAAAACCCTGTTCTACAGTGCTGGAGTTAGCTTCTATCAATCAAACTGAAAGTACAAGGGGATGTGTGAAAGGCTGAAGGTCTGGTGAGTTGGCTTAGATTTCCTACCAGCAGCACCTCACAGGAGCTTCTCCCCTGCCCTTTCATTCTTGCCCAAGAGTACCTTTAACATCAGAAGCTGTGCTTTACTGTCCCTGCTGGAACCAGTCCACTTGCCTATGGTAGATCTCAGTACAGCAAACTATGAGCAACTGAGTTTTGAATTACAGTTATGATTAAAACAGAGCAACACACATTTCTAAGGGTAAGGAAACAACCCCAAATGAATTAGAAAAATCAGGAAAATGAGAAAACTCAGGAAATTCCCAGAGGTCAGGATATGTCATAGAAAGCAGGTATGTAAAGAAGAATACTACTTTCTCAACTCCCTTTAGGTTTCTTTCTTTTGTTGTTGTTGGTGTGGGGGCTTGAACTCTGGGCCTGGGCACTGTCCCCCAGCTCTTCAGCTCAAGGCTAGCACTCTACCAGTTGAGCCACGGCGCCACTTCTGGTTTTCTGGTGGTTTGGAGATAAGAGTTTCACAGACTTTCCTGCCCGGGTGGGCTGGCTTTTAACCGAGATCCTCAGATCTCAGCCTCCTGAGTA